AGAGACCGTCCCCCGCCCCTCAGCCCGGGGGGAGAGAGAGAGAGAGAGAGACCGTCCCTATTCCCAGCAGAGGGGACTACAGGAACTTTTAGAACTCTGGGCATTTGTATACAGAGCATTCTTCTCCAGTTTTAGGGCAGCTCTTCAATGACAGAGTAATTGTTTTGTTTGTTTTTTCTCATAGGAGCGAGGTGGCAACAATTCTTTTAACCATGAAGCTCTTACGCTTAAGTACAAACTGGACAATCAATTTGAGCTTGTGTTTGTGGTAAGTAAATTGTGTTAACAGCCCCTTCTGCTTGCCCAAGTGTTTGGGCAGTTTTTTAGGACTCTGTATCTGGAATGACATAAAATCCCAAAGCTGATGTACTGATAAATACACACTTAATAGAACATATTAAATTCAATACATTGTGCATGGCTGAAAAAGCCTGTTTCATATTCTGGACTCTGTTCTCAGCAATTTTCTGGACTTGCTTCGTGACATTGAACTAGAAAGTATCCTTGAACTTCAGTGTTGCTTCTAAGTAAGATAGTTCTGATATTTACCTCAAAGTATAGAGCCTTGGGGTGAAATGAATGAATGAAAGAGATTCTGAAACCCTTGCATAGAAGTGCTATATCAGCTCAAGGTGTATTTCATTTTCAAAATAGTGACTGGCTATTGTTTCCAGAAGAGCCATTTTGTTAGTGAGCAGTAATAGGATGCGTGAATTGTTACAATATTGACTAAGGAGTCCAGGCTGCTGTTGTAGTGAGGTAACTTGTCCAATTTACTTGTGAACTTGAATTGACTCTCCCAGGTTTAACAGGGTAGATTAGAATGTGCCATAGAAGACTGGCCAATTGTAACTCATACTTGCAGTGCATTTTGGGGTTGCTTCTGGTCCATGATGTACAATGGAGGTGCCATTGGTAAGTAAGTTTAAGAGCCATGGCACTAGAGGGCAGTGAAATATCACTTTTTTTGTGGGTGTCAGATATAATTCCAGTGGTAAGTCTACCATCTAACACGGCTACATCTCTATTACTATCCAGTTTAAGGTTGTTTGACAAAAATCTTTCTGAAATCTAAAAATCTGGTACTCTTACCATAAGGGGCAGCCTAGAGTGAAGTTCTGGCCCTATTGCAGTTAGTGGCAAAACTCCCATTGGCTTCAGTGGGGCTGAGAATTTACTTTTGGTCTCATTTTAGTGTGTGCCTGTCTCTAATAGGCTCTGTCGAGAGCCTTAAGTAAAGACGCATGAGTCCCCCTTCTCCTTTGCTATAAGTGGAAAATTTTAGAGTCTTTAGCAGTGGTGATGGTGCCAAACGTTTGCATTCTTTGCTTGGAATGGTTAGAATTAGCAGCAGCTTCTTAAGTTGTAGATATTTAGTCACATTTCTTTCCGTTTACAGTTTTGTTTTTAGTGTTTGATTAAAACGAGCTTGTTGAGGTTAGCCACAGATTACAAAGTGCAGACTAAGGCATCAATGGCACATGTATCTATTGTCATCTCTGTTCTGCCTAGCTGTTCTGGATGCCCTTTGCTTGGGGTCAAAAGTCAATCCCAGATTAGCCAGGTCTCTCTAAGGTTATCTTGCATGCAGTTTTACACTGTATCCTGAGAATAGCTGCTCTATTTGGGGATGAGTGAAAGCTCTGTATTGCTGTAAAATAATCTGTGGCTACCCCCTTCCTAATGTGGTGTACAGTGCATTTGTACAGGATAATCTGTACACTAGGTATAAAGGAGAATGCCCTCCACTCATTAATGCACTTCAAATTTAGGGATAATTTAGGGCCTGATTCTGTGAGATGAGAGCCTTCAATTTTCTTTGATTTCAGTGGGTGAAAATGACCTCTGAGTTGAAGGTGGTTTGCAGAGTTGGGTCCTAAAAAAGTGCACTTTAAGTGGGTATGTACACTAAATAAATGTTGAGAAGTTTTTGGCAATACCAGCTGCTATTCTGATCTCTCTTCAGTAATAAGTGTGTTTGGCAGCTATTTTCATCATCCAGCATTGTAGATCCTAGCAATTCTAGTCTTATGATGTATGGTGGGACTGAGATTGGTCTCCATTGAAAATTCAGATTTTTTTAAAGCTGTATAGTATGTTACATTAACTTAATTAGTTTTTAGAAACTGAACAGTTGGTTTGGAAATAGTAAAATGGCACATTTCAAGATGAAATTTAGTACATTTTAAAAAGTTAGAAATAGTTTTCAGGTTATATCCTTCCCCCCTTTTTTTTTTAAACAATAACATCTTCCAGTTTTTTTCCAAATGTATTTCTGTTCTAGTCCAGTTCATAAGGGAAGCTAACTGTACCAAGTACTCAAATGTACAACAGCCCAAGGAAAATAAATATTTTTTTCTGTTAGTATTATCTTTGTAACAGTAGTTACAGTATTCCCTTTTAATAGATATTGTTTAAACTTATAATTTTACTTACAGCATCTTGAAAAGACTCTGAGCTCCAAGCTTTGAAGTAGACTTTGTAGTTCTAGAGTCATAAATCATCTAATTGTCAAGATAGCAGCGTCTTCTAGCTCCTTTCTTTTAATTTTAGTAGTTTGTAGCGGATGTATCAATAAGAATGTGTTGCAGTGTATCTTTCAGCTAATGATACACCTTAGCTGCTCTCTAACAGTGATTGTAACTGTCTGCTCTCCTCCTTCCAGGTTGGATTTCAGAAGATCCTGACTCTGACCTATGTGGATAAGTTGATAGATGACGTCCATAAAGAGTTCAGGGATAAATACCGCAATGAATTCCAGCAGAAAGGCACTTTGGGGCTCCTCAATGGCACATTTGATTTTAAAGAGGATTTTTTACGCCTCCTCCAGTAATGAGACCATTTCTGCTATGGCACTGTTTCCTTGTGTATTTCTTTTGTACTAAGTGGTTTTGAATGCCCTGTTAGATATTGGCTATTGGTCTGTGCTAGGGATGTCAATGAGTAGTCAAGTGGACAATTAACAGATAATCTTAGGCTTATCCATTAAACTTGCCCCCACCCCCCCCCACTGCCCCAGGAGCCAGTGCTGGGGGGAGCCAGCTTAAAAGCCAGTTCTCCCCAGCACCTGCTCCGTGGTGCTGCCTGTCTGCTCCCCCCAAAAGAGGGTGCTGTCTGTTCCCTCCCCTCCTCTATCAGAGGCAGCAGCAGGGTTGGGGGCAGGCCTGGCCACCACAAGGCCTCTGTCCACAGTGGGCCTGGACTCACCACAAGCAGAGGCTGCTTTGAGGTACCAGCCCCTGTCCACAGGGGGGTCAGAGCTCCCTGCAGACAGTGGCTGCTCTGCATTTTCCAGAGCAGCTTCTGTCCTTCGTGAGCCTGGGCCCGCCGCAAGCAGAGGCTGATTCACGGTAGCAGCCCCCATCCGAGGTGGGGTCCAAGCTGTATCAGAGGCAGCAGCATAGGGTGGCAGGCAGCCAATCCATGAAGGGAGCTGGTTTTTAAACTGGCTCACCCTGCACTGCTACCTCTGATAGAGGAGTGTCAGGGCTCTCCCCGGGAGTGGAGCTGGGAGCGCATTGGCTGCCGGCCCTGCCCCTGGGGACTATTGTGTAATTGCGAAGATGTCATGTGGTTATATGACTATTCAAAAACCTGCTATCTAACATCCCTAGTCAGTGCAGCCATAGTGTATCGGTGCGCCCAGGCAGTGTACAGTTTGGACTCTCATTTTGGCTGGCTGTCTTACATTCTGATGGTTGGAGTCAGTGATGTAGTTAGTGCGCGGGGCTGATTGTTGGAGTTAGCGCAGGGAACTGATTAGCCTTGCAATGCCCCGACTGGCTGTGATCCTTACTAGGCTTAACCTGGGGATCCCCATAGTGTTTGACTAAGTAAAGTCTCTGTCAACTGACGTCCTTTGTGACCTGTATGTAGCTGGCTGTTATGGTCACCATGCCAGGAGACTTCTCATGCAGGAGCTTTCCCGGGAGAAGGGGCCTAGGCTAGATACTCAAGACCCAAAATCCAGGAGTGGACCAGCCCATGCTAATGTTTTTAAGGCTTCTCTCTAACTGGGCCGCTGGAACACTGAGGTCATCTCAGTCAGAACTGTTGTGTTGGGGTCCTGCTGCATTGTCCATTTGGATGTAACTGAGCTAGCTGTACATCTCCCTCCCCCAGCTGGCTATCAGTGATATGCCAGTGAAAGTGACTCTTGGTCATCTTGCACCCTGCCAGCTGGGAACAGAACCTCAACTTCAGCATTGCATCAACAGATCTTTGGTTCTGAGGCAGGCTTGCAATCAGAGTGGGAACAAACCAGGTGGTATTGAAAGCATCCCTTTGGAGCCTCTCTTCACTCCCCATACATCCAACCTCTCCTTCCCCAGCATCCCCGATATGAGTTGCTGCTGTTTCAGAAATGCCAACTCTTACCTCTTTCTAAGCTACTTCACCATAGAAGCCTTTGGAATGTTTTTCGTTGGTGATTAGGATCACTGTGGGGTCAGAGTGGGGCAGACAATGTCCTTGTTAATATGAAACCTTGGTGAGTACAAAGCTTGTTTCTTTTCCAGGTGAGAGGAGCACTGCAGCCTTAGCCAAAATAAACAGTTGAAATCATTCGTTTCAGGTTCTGGAATGATGTTCCTAACACATTTTGTCACATTTTAAAAGGCAAAAGTAGTAACTATTGAATCCTAAATGTCAGATAGGAAAGTCCTAAAAATGATTCTGCCCATCCCCAGACTCCTGTTTGTATGTGGAATGTACGAGGGACTTTCTAGTGTTTTGCTCACCCCTTAAAGTCCCAGGCAATAGGACTTGCACAGCCAGTGGACCTATGGATTTGTAGGGGTTTCAAACTGCAGTAGGAATTGCTTGTTTCATCCTTCATACGCTTCCACCAGTTGATGCAGAGGATTGTAACAAACCTTTCCTGAAGACCAGTCTTGCTAAATAGTTGAAGCATGAGCTTGGGGCTGTAACCTTATGTTGTGTGGGCCTGGTCAATACTCTGAGATCTCCAGTTGTTGGGTGATTCAAAAGGGAACACTCCCTTTCAGCACTAACCGCAATGCAACAATGTGCTATCTTTGAGAAGAGATGCAACAGTGAGGTTCTGCTCTCTTATCATTAAAGATCCTCTGACTCTTTTTTGATAAATGGGAGTGTTGATTTAATTTCCTGATAAATCTCCAGTGTAATTCTTGATTTAATTAGATGCATGACTCTTCACTTCTTGTGCGGGCAAGTACTGGTGCTATTAAATGATGATTCTGCCCCAGAGTGGGCCACATTTCACTGAACTCAAAAATGATCCCATTCTACAACATATCCTTGAATTTCAGTGCATCATCCTCAAACTCCTTCAAGAGAAATTGTACAAATTCATCCCCTAAGAACCCATCCCAAGTACACAAACATAAGCAGACCTACTCTCCTTGTGCTCGTGTTGCATGTTCTCACCAGGTGATGTTTGAGAGTTGTTGGTTAGGGCCTAGTTATCATAGTCATCAAGTTGAGCACAGCTGTGATTCCCATGCAACCATCAGTGCCTTACAGTGCCCCACTTCGGTCAGTGCAAATGTTCCTGGTGAGAACATGCAACACCAGCACAAGGAGAGTAGTGTGGATACCCACAGCCGACTGAATTACTGCAGTGGCTTTAGGTCAACCTAAATTAAGTCAGCCTAGTTTTGTAGTGTAGGCAAGCCCTGAGTACATTTCCGAGATCTGAAGATGCTTGAAAGTTTCTCTCCCCAACAGAATTAAAGATATTACCTCACCTAGCTTGTCTTTCTAATGGGCAATAAGTACAGATAAGACTTCTTTTTCAGAAAGGGATATTCAATAGCACCTTTCATCTCTTGTCTTCGTATTGTCACACAAAAACTGCATTCATATCGTGTGTAATACAGTTAGTGAAACAATAAATGAGCAGAGGAAATGGGAGACCGCAAAGGGAGAAAAGATGTCTTCAGAGGGATTTGAAGAGCTGAATGATTTGAAGAGCTGCAGCCTGGTAGATGTTGCAGCTCAACTCTTGCCCAAGTGATTATCATGCTGTGATGCTAAGTTCTGGACCTGGACTAGATTTTGGAGGGTGAATAACACGCTTTCTCTTTGATCAGGGAAGCAGAGGACAGCAGTAAAATCCGAGTTCCTACTGCCATGAAGACGTTTGAACAGTCTGTAAAGTCTCAGAAGACTGTCAAATCTATGATAGAAACCCGAGGAGAGAAACCAAAGGAGAAAGCCAAGAACAAGAAAAACAAAGGTTCCAAAAAGGAGGGTAAGTGGGTGCAGCCTAGAGATCTGTGAAGTGGGATGAGCAAATATCCCAGAGGGTTCCAGAACCAGGCTGTCTCCTAGACTTCAGTGACAGTAAACCACTGCCTGCTTGTGTGCAGGCACATCTGCCCAGTCGCATATCTTAGTGGAACAGGTTGATTCGGATCCCGTATGCTAGTTGCTTTTGCCCTTTTATGGCTGCCAGAATCCCTCGTCCTACATAGAGCAGTTGATTCGGTGAAACAGACCTGGTCACGTTGCATGACAAACAGGTTTGCTGCTCATTTGCTCTGCTTTGTTTCATACAAACTTCGGTTAAATTTTTCAAACTAACAGTAGTGACGCAAATCAAAGTAGCCCGGCTGACTCCAGCGCTTAGCCCTTGTGAAAACCTGATTCCTTTGGTTAGATCCTGAAATATGGATTTAGGATCTGACTTCAGTGCCCAAGTTCAAAACCTCTAGGCTAACTGAATGCTGTTATCGTGGGATGCTTCTGCAGGAACGGATTGTCCCCATAGTAAAGGAGTCTTGTTTGCTGCAGCTGCTTCCTTGGTCACTTTAAATTCTAACATGATGTTCCAGCAAAAAGGCTGGCGTTTAAGCCCATTGAGGACTAGCTGCATTTGCTTTGTTTGTGGGAGGGGAGAAAGGTGATCCTGAAATAAGCAAGTCAAAGCATTTTGAAAGCTGTAGCGTGGGGCCATCGCCACTGTAGGCCTCCACCTGCTGCAAGCAGGGAAAACTGCATGAAGATTATGGAATTCAGTGCTGAGGTCAGGGAAATCCTGACGTTCAAGTCACTCTGGCAGTGACTCAGCCATGTTACACATGCTAGCCATTCGTTCCCCCCTATTTAAATGGAAAATGCACTGTCTACAATAAATCCATCACAGGAGATGGATTCCTTGGGAGCCAGCTCCTAACACAGCAACCTCTGGGAAAGGTTACGATCACAAACCTCTCTTCTTCAGAGTGCAATATAAATGTCACTTCTCTCTAGTTTTAAATGCATTGTGGTGAGGGCTCTGTCTTGTCCAGCTTCAGGAACCGAAGCTGCTGTTGTGCCCAGTAAAGCAGCCCCAGATGCAAAGCAGAACCCTCCCATGGCAGCCGGGGACAGGGAGGAACTGACCAAGGATGAGATCCTGCAAAAGAACCGTGAGGAATTCTTCAGGAAACGCCTGAAAGGAGGAGAGAAGTCAAAGTGAGTGAGAAGATGACAGGTCTGTGTTGCCCTCCCCAGTCTGAGGGGTAGTGGTGATAGGGTGGCAGAACTGTGTCGGTGAAGGATTTCATGCATTGACAATGGACAAGGAGCTGGTTTTCATATTGCTCTCGAACCACAAACTATTGTCAATTGTAATTGCATTGCGTAGATAGTGGGCAAGAAAGCTTCAGACTCTCTTGTCCTTACGGTGGAACAAACATCTCCTCCTAAAGCACCCCTCCCTCGCGTTGCAATGCAGGAGTACCCCTTGTTCCAATGACCTGTGCTCTTTCTAGTCCTGGGGACTGGCACATGCTGTGACTTGTAAGTGCTCATGCTCTTTGAAATGTCTTTGCCGTGTTTCCTGGTGAAGGTGAGGCAGCCGTGAGTTATCTAAGGGTTCGAATGAGACCGGCTTAACCAAGACACTGGCTTTTGGAAAAGTGTTTCCTTGAGCTTGCTTGGACCTGTGGTGATGGCACTTTGGGGGCGCTCTGAGGGATCCAGTGCTGTCTACATGTCTATGCCCTGTCCTTGATCAGGAACTAGAACAAAGGGTGAAACCTTCACCATATTGAAGTTGGGGAAGATTTGCCATTAACTTCAGTGAGGCCATGATTTCACTCCAGGTGATTTTCCAGAAGCTCATGTTATCAGACCACAGCAGTTATTGGCATCCCAATACACTCAGTCTGCCAGTGGTTGCAGGCTGCTATCATTCAAACACCCTGTGGCTTTTGGCTTCTTTAGGGATGCCTGTGTCATTCACTGGAGGGGGAGAGAGAGAATGTGGCCTGTTTGTGTCTCCAAAGAGTGTCTGAGACAATTGTACAGCTCTCTTCCCCACTGGTACATGTGACTCCAAAGAGAAGGGGAGTATGGGACCTGCAGGTAGAAACTTCCTCAGTGATGGAGCTCTTGGCAAGTGCAAAGAGCAGCATGTTGAATTGTACTGGGGAAAACCTACAGATAAAAGAAACATGTACTGCATTTGGCAGTGATACAGCCTCAGTGCTGAGGCTGGTTGGGTGGCCTTTGCAGTATCCTTCCATGCTCTGTTCACCATAATTTGCAATGTTTGGGAGGCTAATTTTGGTGTTTGTTGAATGTTACTGATGCTTTCTTGACTCTGGCCTTTGCAGTATCCTTCCATGCTCTGTCCTTTTTCAGTTTCACCATAATTTGCAATGTTTGGGTGGCTAATGTTGGTGTTTGTTGAATGTCACTGATGCTTTCTTGACTCTCTCTGGATTAAAGGGATGCTAGCAACTTACCCCCAGGCTGAGGGGTCAGAAAAAGAATTCTCAAAAGTGAGGGAGAGTTATTCTGGAAGTTTTCTCATTCACTGCTGCATCAGCATATTGGCTACTGTGCAATACCTGTTGAACCAAGCAGTCCAGTCCCACATAGTAACCCCTATAAACTCGTCCCATTCATATGGGAGATACCGTCTTTCTAAAATCTCTTCTTGGAACTGCTGACTGCCGTCATGGTAAAGTTTTCTTTAATAGCTTCTCCTCTGCCTTCCCAGCAAGTCCCCAAAGCCTGAGACTCAGAAGGAGAAGGGGAAGAAGCCCCGTGTATGGGATCTGGGAAACTCTAATGCCAAAGTACTCGATTATAGTAATTCCACTACCAATGGAAACACCGACACTTGTCCCACAGAGGAATATGACCCTGATATGGTAAGATCCTAAACATTCCCCTCTCAATGGCATGATTAGCTTCTTTGCCAAGGGCATTGCCACGGCAGCTTGTACACAAAGCCAAGGGCATTGCCATGGCAGCTAGTACTCAGATTGGATTACATGCTGGATTGGAGCATGCAGAATGGAACAAACGGAGGAGTGGCTGTTGCGGATGAGATCTTAGCTTGGCAAACTGGTAGCTGCCTGAGAAGTGGAAAGGCACTGCCCAAGTATTGCTCAGTCTCCATAAGGCTGTGTCAGTTTCACCTGTCTGGTTCCTCATGGTGCTCTCACCATTTTGGAGCTCAGTGCTAGAGGAATCCTCTCTTGGAGGAACTGAAATCAGCCCCCCCCCGCTAGCAAAGCTGTTTGGAGGAAGGTGGTAGAACCTACCTTAAAGCTTACCTGTGCAATATAAAAAGTAGTTTTGTAGATGGAGCATAGGACTGGGAATTTTATTCCCATCTGTTGTTGCTTTGCTGTGTGATCTTGGGATAAGTTATTTGTCTTCTGTGTAAAGGGAAACCAGCACTTAGCTCACTGGGAGTTGTGGAGATTAGATGAAACTCCCAGAAGTTCCTGCAGGCACTACAAATGATCACGTTATTCTGACTGGCCCCTCATCAGTACCCCGCTTCCTCACAGATTGTGGCAAATAGCTGGATGCTCCTTCCTGGCAGAACCATTGCAAAAGTTGACTTGGCTCCTAACATGAGCCAACCGTTCCCCTTCGCAGTGAGCCAGCAAAAGAAGGGAATTGAAGCGTAAATGTCAGTTACTGAATCTCTGTATACGCCTCTGCCTTGTCCATCCTTTACAGGCCCTAGGAGATCGAGATCGGGAGCCTGGCCGCCTGTATGATCTTGAATATGAGAGTGATGAAGAGGAACCAGAAGAGGAGAAGATTATTCAGAACCCTTCACAGCCCAGGTAAGTCCTCCTGCAAGGCCTGCTCCCCTGCCCATGGCTAGCTCCTTGCTTTATCTCCTACAGCTTTTCCTGCATGTCCAGTCTGCTAAGCTTGTATGGGGTTGCTTACATGGATCCTGGACTAGCTAGCTAAAGCCTTGGCTTTGGACCCTCTGCAGGAAGGAAGTCTTGTCTAACACGCTACATGGTTTTGGCTGCTTCCTACTTTGTTCCAGCTGAGGGAGCACATGGTGGATAAACAGTCTGCTCATGAGTGGTCCTTCTGTTTCTGAAGGCTGAATCGTTAGACTAAATGATCCTGTAATTGCCACTTCCACGCAGGATCTTTGCTTCCCAATGACTCCTGCTCTACCTTTGTTCACCTCTCTGCGCATGGTAATTGAGCAAACCCGTGCGAGTTCCCAGACAACTTTGGAACATGCCTCATACAGAAGTTGGGTTTGCAAAGTGTACAGAATGGCTGCTTGCAGATCAGCTAGTAAAGGCCGTCTCCCAGTTTGAACTGTTAATCTGGTTCTCATATTAAAATGCCATGACCTAAGGAGCAGCTCAGTACCAGAAGGCAAAATTGACCGACTATATATTAGCTTAAGAAATGTGTTAGGCAATCTCCAATGATTTATGTATTTATCTCCTAGAACTCGAAGAGACCTTGAAAGGTCATTGAGTCCAGTCCCCTGCCTTCAAAGCAGGACCAAGTACCAACCCTGACAGATTTTTGCCCCAAATGGCCTCCACAAGGACTGAACTCACAACCCTAGGTTTAGCAGGCCAATGCTCAAACCACTGAGCTATCCCTCCCCCGTTTGGTCTTTCCCTCCCTTTTAGCTGCTATTCTCTTCGAGATCACTGCCATCCCTTTACGCTAGAGAACTGATAGGTAACTACACTGTGTGTTCACAGGGCTAAGAAGGGTGCTTTGGGAGGCATGTTCGGGATGCTGAAAGGCCTGGTGGGCTCCAAAAGCTTAACAAGAGAGGACATGGAGTCTGTGCTGGAGAAGATGAAGGATCATCTGATCGGTAAGTCTGGAATGTCTCTTACAAACAAGTGCCCTGTGTCCTTGCTGGTTGGTGTCAGGCTCTGTAGATCTACTGGTCTGCATTTGGAAGGAACCATTTCTCCAGGCCTTTCACTAAAATTCTATTTTCCTTTTTTGTATCCACAGTAGCGTTAAAAATGTAAAGTGACTCTTCCAGGAAGTAGAGTTGTAGCTCAGTCACAGATGCTGTTGGCCCTGTATTTTACCACATGCCAATGAGCATGGAACTGTTGTTATAACCTTTCTCTTGTATTCTTCTTAGGTATATCTCAATGTATTATTATCTCATAGAGCTGGAAGGGACCTTGAGAGGTCAAGTCCAGTCTCCTGCCCTCACAGCAGGACCACTACCAGCCCTGTCAGATTTGCCACAGATGCCTAAATGGCCCCCTCAAGGATTGAACTCTCAATCCTGGGTTTAGCAGGCCAATGCTCAAACCACTGAGCTATCCCTCCCTGTATTGTTGTAGTCTCTCCTTACAGAGTTTGGAGTTCAGTGGTGTCCTTCCACACTGTCTATAAACTGCTGCAGGAGTCTTGCATAAACAATTTCCACAACGTATGTTCTCCTGCCCTGAATATATGTGCAGAACAAGACTAACAGAGGGAGGTTAACATAGTAAAGGATGTTTGGCATGTGCCCCACATACAGCACTAACTAGAAAAATTCTCTCTTGATGAGCTTTTTTCTAATGCATGTGCCTGACTTTAAACTTGGTGAATGGGGGATTCACTTGTGCAGTGTCCTTGTCTTTTGAATGAGATTGCAATAGACCTGTGGCTTGCACCAATGCTAGTGTAAGATTGCTCACAAGGACTTTGCAGTTGGATCAAATGTGGCCAGCTGCTTCTCTGATAACCAGGTCATAGATGAAATCTGCGACAGTTTGTCCTTTCTCTTTCGTGTGACATGACACGCTGGATAAATCTGTTATGCCTGGTGTGATACCCTTCTCTTGGACTAATAGATTATGTGGTGCTTAGGATGGTAGGCCTGTACGTTTGTGAGTCTCTGCACATTGTAGTTAACAGAGACCCTACTCTATCGGGTGGAGAGCCTTCGGCCTGGGGAGCTGGACCCAGACCGTGAGGCTCAGGGCTTCTCCCCACAGTATTGGGGAGCATGCTTAAGTGTTTCAGCTCCGGCAGGGTTCCCTGTAGCTCTCCCTGTGGGGCTGGGGTGCCAGCCCTGGCTCTCTGTTGTGGGAGGGGGAAAGCCCTGAGCCTCGCAAGCCAATGTCAGGCAGGCCAGTGTCACGTTCGACCCACAGGCTCTGCCTGGTGAGAGGAGAGGAAGCAGCGCTGCGTGCTGCCACTCCCCACGCACCTCCCCCTAGCTGGGGAAAGCAAATCCCCCTGCTGCTCCAATTGGCCACAATCTCTTGTGTGCAAGAGGAATGTGGGGAGTGTCTTTCTGCTTCAGTCGGGAGCCACGGCAGTGGTGGGGTTTTTCCTTTTCACTTTTATGGGGCCCTGACTGATTTTACTGGGGTCAGCAGCCCCCAACCCAATAAAGGATCCCTACCCCTGCTCTGTATGTTCCAGCTGATTTGCTCACATTCTGTAAAACGCTCTGGGGTTCTACTGGTGACAAGGTGGGAAATGTTAAAGTTCTAGTGACAGTCATAGGCCTTAAGAGGGCAGTAATTTGGCCACTTCAAGCTGAATCAGACTGAACTGAATATAATGCACATTTTGGAACTGACTAGTAAGGAGCCAGGGTCCTAGACAGTGATGTTAATGGGCTCTGAAGTCCTTATTTTATCCAGAGGACTCTGAGGGGCAGGGGAGGAAGATAAAATGGTTGGGATCCTTAGAGTTGAGTAATGTGGAAAGAAGCCATTGGCCCCAAAACAGGCTCTGCATTGGCCTGGGGCCAGACAGTGTCTCCTTACCTGCTTTCCCCAGAGGTGGGGGAGGGGTTACTTCTGGGTTAAAAGATTATTTGAGGAAGCATCTGGGCTGTGGGTTGTGTTAAGACGGCACGTTCTCCCGGCCTTGAAGGCTCTCTGCACGGAGTGTCTGTATTGCTGTCAGCTGTAGAGCAGGGTTTCATTGGCGCTGCCAAGCGCTGCTCTCCCATGGGGTGGCCTCGCTCTTGGAGCTAGCAGGCGTATGGAGCCTCTGGGGGGACTGGGAGAGTCCTGAAGCCCAAGGGTCTCTCGGTGCTAACTCCTACTCCCTTGGCTTTTCTCTTCCACAGCGAAGAATGTTGCAGCCGATATCGCTGTCCAGCTGTGTGAATCGGTGGCTAAGAAACTGGAAGGGAAAGTGATGGGCACCTTCACCAGTAAGTGCTTCTGTCCTTCCATTTAAGGAGCTGCTCTGAAAGCCCTCTGCTGCCATTTCATTCTTCCCATCTGCTGCCCTGAGGCTTGGAACAAAGCATGCTGGTCCCAGCGGGTCATTGCTGCTCTTTGGCGGTTTCAGTCCAAGGGACATTGGACCCTGGGCTTGTTCCAGCCTGCCCCAGAGGCCTGTTTAGGCTCTAGTTGCCAAGTGCCTTGTAACTCTCAGTGCATGTGCAGAAGGGAATAACCTCCCCCTGCTAGGTAAGCACCTCTCCGTGGTTCAGGAATGTCTGAGCCGCTGCACTTCTGGATTCCTGTAGCTTGGCCCTCGCAGGCTGTGGGGGGAGGTTTCTGTGATGCCAACCTCTGCAGCAGTTCACACGTTTAACCCCTTGGAATTTGCTGATGGGAAGCTCTGCTGCAGTAGATGAAATGGGCAGAGGGCCAAAGGATCAGCAGAGGCCTGAGAATCTATAGAATGCAGGGTGCTAAGTTCGCACCTTTTGTAGTAGTAGGGGGCAGGAGTGCCTTCTCCAGGCTAGTGAGGACTCCTGTGGAGGAGGCAGCATTGTTCACTGTCAGGGGAAGGTAAAAGTGAACTTAATGACACAATCAGCAGACTAATAAGGGAAGAGCCTGCTCTGAAGGGAACCCAAGCCCCTTCATGTGGCAGCTGTGTAGGTCACATTTGACTGGTGTGCTCCTGAGATGCGATGGGGGAAGGGTGGGCACTCAGCCACTCCATCTGCGATCAAACACTGACAGAGGTTCCTCTTCTCATGTCTTCCCCAGCGGTGACCTCCACAGTGAAGCAGGCCCTGCAGGAATCCTTGGTGCAGATCCTGCAGCCCCAGCGCCGTGTGGACATGCTGCGTGAGGTCATGGATGCCCAGCGCCACCGCCGGCCATATGTCGTCACTTTCTGTGGCGTCAATGGGGTTGGAAAGTCGACCAACCTGGCAAAGGTAGGGCGCAGCTGCTTGTGTTCTCAGCGATCAGTTCGGGCCCTTTCCTGGAGGATCCTTTCCTGTCAGGGAGGATTTGATTTTAACTTAGTGATTTAAATCACTCCTCAGGAAGGCTCGATTTAATCATGGTTTTCTACATAAAAGTGCATTCTTGTTAATTGTCATCACATTAATACATATTCATCACCATTCAGAGAGGATGTAGGTTTCATTTTTAGAAGGTAGACATTTTTAAACGGTGTTTTAGTTTGAAAACTTTTCAGATTAGTTTTATATTGATATGATTCATATCAGAAAATGATTGGTTATTTCATTTACCGCAGATATTTATGAAGTCAGTGGGAGGTAAACTATCTTCAACTCAACAGGTCAATCATTACTATTTGGAGAATTTTCTTGTGATGCTGTATTAGGAGAACATCACCATACAGATGTTTAAATTGTTTTATTTCACTAAAACGTTATGTATTCTGGATTTTTTTCTTCAACAGTAAGCAGCATATTTTAACAAAACAAGCATGAATTTTTGAATTTAAACATTCATGTTTTTTTAAAATAGGTTTGTTTTAGTTAAATAACTAGAATAAATGAAATATTTTTAAAATAAAAAATTAAATTGTCTGTCAGCGAAGTCAACATGAGAAACTTAAAATTTTGGCTTCTATTCATTGAACTTTTTGAAACTGCACTTTTAGAGAGGGAAGGGATTGACTGTACAGAAATGTGCAGAGGACAGGAGGGTTAAGGTCTTATTTCTCACCTCTAGATTATTTATTTTAAAAGATTTTTGCTATTAACAAGCATGTTCTCTCTGGAGACTGTTTGAGAACTGCAAAATTAGGCACCTTTGATGGCCTTTTCTAGACTGAGTACTGAGTCCTATTAAGTAGATAGAAAGATTAACCCAAATCATCTATACAGAAGCTTCTAGAACCCCAGAGGACTGGATCCCAAACCCATGAACTATAGGAACTCTTTTTTACAAAACTTTCTTAAACATTACATGAATTATAATTATAATTTATAATCTCTCTTCCATGGTGAGATATCTTTGAGCTATAATGTATCGTAATTAACAATCTTTATGTAGGTTTTTTCCCTCAAAAAGCATAATATAAAAAAAATCTGATTTTAAATTGGATTTTCTTATTTAAATTTAATTTTTTTTTAAATTTAATTTTTTTTTTTAATCATTGATTTTTATCCACCCTGTTTCCTGTGCACATTCTGGGGACGCCATCTCAAACCCCCTTGGCTAATTGTGATGGCAACATCTCCGTAGTGTAGGACTGTCTGCCTACAGCTATTGCATATGGCACCCAGATCCCTAGAACTGAAATATTAGCTACAACCATTCCTCTGAGCAGTTCACTTCCCTTGTAGGTCTGACAGCGCTTTGCATTGTGTTATGCTGATGGGCAGTTCAACTTCCTGAATCTTGCACTAGTATATTGCCACTAGTATGTTACCTAGTGAGGCTGGAGAGCTGGCTTGTGCTCTGACCCCATTCACATGCACATCTCCCTCCCTGCTAAAGAGCCCCTACTCAGCATCAAGAGAAGAGATTTGTGCTAGTTATAGGGACGTCTACCCACCGTTTTGAAATACCTAGACAATTTCAGAACCCTTCATGCTGATCTTTAAAACCCCATGGTGTGGTTAAACTGAGGGTCTGTAGAAGTCCTTTGGACTCTTTACTGTGTCTTTACCTCCCTCATGCTGCCTTAGGTGATCAGCCTCTTCCTGTAATGTGTCTGACTGACCAGAAGCCTTGATATGGTTACATGAACAGTGCAGTTAAATGCCGGACTCAGGCCATGCTGTGTAGGCCAGGGGTCAGTCGGAAGGCAGCCTTGAGCTGCAGCAGTGTCTTTGTCATCACCAAGATAGAGTTGTCGCTGGGGGAAAACTGTCTGGCTCCTCCATACAGCCCTGAGCAGGCAATGGGCATGCCCCAGAGTGCTCTGATCCCCTTCAACAAAAGGCTGGGTAGACGTGCAGGGTCTACACTACAGGCAGAGCATAGCGATGCCCACAAGAATGTGCAGATTCTACTGGTGTTGGAGATGGGAACCAGTGCTGGTTGATCACTGCCTTGGTGTGGTGTGTTCACAGGAGTATTTCTAGGGAAGTGAAGAGCTTGTAATGTAGCCAACGGACTCAGGTGGGACCTGACATGGAAGCATGTTGACATGATAGGAGAACATGGAGCTGGTTCCCTTTTCTTTTTTGGGGGGTGGTCGAAGGAGGAGCATTGCCAACATACTCACCAATCTTCTCTGGAGACTCAGGGTCCTTCCCCACTTGATCTGTCAGTGACTGTCGTGGGCTAGGACACTTAGTGAAACTCGTTTGTTGAACTTTGGGACGGGGAAGTGAACCAGCAAACTGCCTGGGGGCAGGCGATGGGCTCTGATGAGCTGGGAGCTGAGCAGAGCTAGACTCGTGCTGGGGACAGTAATAGGATCCCTTCTCCCGCTCTCAGATCTCTTTCTGGCTGATTGAAAACGGGTTCACCGTCCTCATTGCTGCCTGCGATACGTTCCGAGCTGGAGCCGTGGAACAGCTGCGCACTCACACCCGCCGCCTGAACGCTCTGCACCCCCCAGAAAACCACGGCGGCCGCACCATGGTGCAGCTCTATGAGAAGGGCTATGGGAAAGACGCCGCTGGCATTGCCATGGAGGCCATTTCTTATGGTGAGCCCTGTCCCCTGCCTTGGCCAACTCCTCTGAGGCATCCAGGACAGAAATCCTTTTTCTGAGAGGCTCTGGCCCTCCTAAGGGAGAAGTGACATGGGGTTTGAGATGGGAATGCCAGTCCAGAGTCCTGGGGCGAAGGATGGCTGAACGGCTTGAACTGTCCTTGCCACCATGCTCGTATAGACCCCACCTCCCTGACAGGTCGGAAATAGCTCTGGTGTGGGGGAGGTGTGGAGCAGGTGTGGAGCACAGACTGGAGAATAGGGAAGGCTCCAGCAGTGGGGATGAATTCTTGGTCCAGGAAATCAGAGATCTTGTGCACTAGCTGCCAGGCCCTCTTCTGAATTCTGAACAGCATAGGGATGGGGTGGAGGAAGCCAGTTTCACGGTGTGTATTGGGGAGGGGTGTCAGTCTATGGCTGTTTCCACAACTGAGCAACAAGTTACCTGCTGAAGATTGAATAGAATCTGCCTGGTGGGAAAGGTTTGTGATTGAGATTTGAACTGACCTGCTAGAGAAAAGGGCCCAAGCTGTACCATCAACCTGACAGTACCTAGAGTACCAGGCTGTTTATCTGGGTTCTAGTCCCCTAATATATATACTGCCTGTTCCTGTCCCAGAGAGGGTTTGTGTTACGGATTGTGTCATGTAGTGGGGGAAAAAAAAGGTGTGTGGAGGAAAGAGGCTTGAGTAAATCCCTGATATTCTGAGGAAGGGCAGTGGCTGGAGGAGCAGTGTGTCTATGAATAGTAACTCTCTCAGCTTCCTTCACCTAGTAAACCCCTTCGCGTCTCTTTTCCTAGCACGTAACCAGGGGTTCGATGTGGTATTGGTGGACACTGCTGGCCGCATGCAGGACAACGCCCCCTTGATGACGGCTCTGGCTAAACTCATTGCAGTCAACACCCCGGACCTGGTCCTGTTTGTTGGGGAAGCCCTGGTGGGAAACGAAGCTGTGGATCAGCTGGTTAGTTTTTGATTCTTTAACCTCAAAGTTTTGCCACAGGGGGAAGTCTGATTCTTTAACCTCAAAGTTTTGCCACAGGGGGCAGGTGGCATGAGCCCAGGTGGCATGAGCCTCTTCGTACGTGTTGGGAGGTGCTTGCACACCAGTAATGGACATCTGCTTAGAAGAACTTACATGGATTTATTTCTGGGCTGTATTTTCCCCCAGGTCAAGTTTAACAAGGCCCTTGCTGATCACTCCATGACCCAGGTACCACGTCTCATTGATGGAATTGTGCTCACCAAATTTGATACCATCGATGACAAGGTATGATGGCCATTCACTTCATACAAGGAGCGTGTGCATTCTTTCTCTCCCCGCTGGAGTCTTGTGTTTTAATGTCTTTTTAAATGACCTCATATGGATCCTCTCCTTGCTGAGACCAAACGGGGGGAGAAATCAAACAACCATGTCTTCAGATCTCAACAAGGCATGTTCTTTTGATGCGTTAGTCAATATCATCTCCTTGAGACTCCTCTCACAAGGAATTATTTTCTTTGGGTCCACTTTGAAGTAGTTTGAGGCAACATGTTTCACGTTGTGGTGGAGTTGCTTTGGAATATCACAATACTGTACTGGGGCAAGTGGAATCTTTGTTGGTCTGAGTATTTTGGAAGTCTCAAGCTATTCCGATTACTCCCTTTAGCAGTGCTGTAACAACCAAGATGCACATGGCCCCCAAGGAAATCATCATGCAAATCAGAATTCCAAAACTTGTGGGTGGCAAATGAAAGCCATTCTAAACTGCTCGTTAGAACGGCTATATGAGGGAGAGCTGCCATAGCTCAACATAGCTCATAGCATAAACATTTCTTGCATTCTCAAATGTCCTCTTGATGGCAGCATATTCCATTGTACAGCTTTTTCTCATTTTCTTCTGGACTGGTGTGTTGAGTAGAAAAACCTTCATGAGTGCAAAGGTTTATACTCGACACGAATTCCAGCTGGTGTTGCTCACCTTGCAGCAGGGGATTTGGAAAGGCAGTGCCATTGTTCTTCCAGGGTGTGTGGGGAACAGTTACTGGCGAGATGTTGGCCTTCTGAACTTTGAGGCCACTGACCTAAACAAACTGTCTGGTCTTTTCTAATTCTGACAACTGAGTGTCAGTGCTGGACCTCACAAACATGGCTCAGCTGCTGCTTACAGCCAGCAACTAAGGCCTTGCGGCAGTTGTCATTAAAAAGATGGTGGGGTAAGACAGGAAATAGTTCAGTTTATAGTGGGCCATCCGCATCTCTAATTTGTTCAGAAGAAATTACCAGTCATTACTTTTGCTCGCCCTTCTGACTGCTCACACTATAGTTTTTAATTTTCCTGCTGCTGGGTGAATATAAAAACTTAAGGCCAAAGAGGCTATTGTGACTCCCTGATGACCTGTATACCGCTTAGCCTGTGTCGCTTCTCTCAGCCTCGGAGGGGTAGCCAAGTAAACTTTGGCTTTATCTTGTCTCATGGGACAGACAAGGCCAGGCTGGAGTGGGACCAGAGGGGTGGGGAAGGGAGTTCAGACTGTTTAGAACCTTAATTCAAATTCCTGGCTATCAAATCCTTACATTCTTCGTCTCAGAACTCTGACAAATTGCTGTCACTCTAATTGGACTTGAACCTGCCCAGATTATAGGCTTCTATTCTAGCCAATCATACAACGAATATTTTGTCAGGCCTGGGTTGTATGTTGAGGCAGAGTCCTGTTCAGTAGCTCTCCTCCAACCAACTAATGGATGCTCTTTCTCCCATAGGTCGGTGCTGCAATCTCCATGACTTACATCACTAGCAAGCCCATTGTGTTTGTTGGTACTGGACAAACCTACTGTGATCTGCGTAGCCTTAATGCCAAGGCTGTAGTCACTGCTCTCATGAAGGCCTAAAATCCAGTTGTTGCACCAAATTGCTGTTTGCAGCTGTCTCCGAAGAACATGCTTTACAATGTGACTGTCTTTTCAGTGTAGTGTAAAACAGAATGAAGGGATAACAGAGCTAGGGGCTGCTCTCTTCACCGTGTGCTTGAATACATCAGTGTTTTCACCAGTGCACAGCCTTCCTGTTACCTGGTGCATGACTTGACTTGGAAGGAGTTTGCTATCTTCAATCATGTTGTTTATTCTGATTAGCTACACTTCTTCCATATTTATTGGCTATAAAGCAATTGTCTCCTTCAGGTGGAGCACCCTTGCCAGAACAGCTCTGTGGCCTTCGTCCAGCAAAAGCCCTTCTCTCCTGGATTGCTCTGTTTAGTGGAAGCTGAAATCAGAGCTTTGTATTGTTCATATCTTTTGAGTGGTGGCTAAGATCTGCCACAAACAAAGCATCTATGGACTACTGAGCTTGTTAAAGGTATTGAGCCTATGAGCCAATCTGGATGTTTAGATGTGAGGCTTAGTGGGATCCAAGAGCGTGAATGTCCCAGTCCAGGGGCTAATCCTAAGGCTAGCTTTGCACATTCCATAGAGCAGAAATAGATGCTGCTTAGTGACAATTTGTGTAGCCAACCTGACTAATACCTGCTGCTAGCTCTGAGAATAGCAGCTCACCAAAGTTGATAAACCAAAAATAGTAAGTCTAGGCTGTTGTGCTTGTCATGCAGGGACCTGTAGGGATGATGCTGAAATTGCCTTAAGGTCCCTAGTTTCCCTGTCTCTGGAACTGTAGGACTCTGAGGGCTATTTGACAGTGAGCCTAGGGTCCTTACTTTGGTCTAAGGCTGGAATTGTTAGTTGCCAAGAGCTGTATTGCCATCAAAGCTGACTGAGCATTGCCTGGCTTCTTGCAGGCTTTAGGGTATAGGCTAGAACTGGTTTCTGTACTGCACAACCCTTTTTCTCAGAAGCTGTTTCTATTAATGACTCATGCCCCCTTAGCTCCCTGGTGTTGAGGCTCAAACTGATACTACCAGAACTCTTGCCTGCTGTCCCAACAGCATTAGCTTTGGCCTCTAATAAACCAGCTAGTGAAATGAAACTTGTTTAGAGGAAGACAGTGCTGGCTGCTTGCTGCTTTCCTGCCCCCCCTTCTCCCTCCATTCAGAGTGCCTCTAGATCCTGGTCTGAAGTGCTACACATTGAATAATACAAAACTCTAAGATGTCTTGTAGCTCAGTATTGCAGATGTGCTAGTGCAATAACTTGAATGCTGTCTGCTAAAAGAATTACATAATTTATATAAAAATAAATTTCATAAATAAGTTGGATAAGTTGTTTCTCTTGTTGAAGGGACAGGATAGGCTGCTAGGATGAACACTCTGAAATGTTTAACTTATTTGTCTCTTCAGCCCTACCGTAAACTGAGTTAGGCACCTGGGATGTGGTGCTACACCCCAGTGAAACGAATGAAGCCAAAGCAGTTAAGTGAACAGGCTTTTAATACAGCTTCAACATACAAAATACAGTATAAAGAAAGGACTAGAAAACTAGAGCGTCAAGTAATAAAAACTGCTCCAAGTTTCATTTCATTGAAATGTGCAAGATATTAAACTGCAGAGGCTGCTGCTGTTTAGAGAGGGAGAGATTCCCTCCAGATACAATAATCCTCCTTTCTCTTCAAGGTTGCAGTAACTGCTGTGTAAACTACAAGCCATCTTCAGCAGCTAGGATCATCCAACAGGGGCTCAGTCAAGTCTGGTTGTTTCTAGCAGGATCACAACTGAATCCCAGTTTCTTAATAACCAGCCACTGAAAAAGTGAGTGCTTTTCCTGTAAACTGACTGAGGTCCACAGGCTGGTGGGATAGCTGCCAAGGTCTTGAACTCAGGTGAACCAGTAGCACAAACAGCTGAGTAGAAGCTCAGGTACTGCCCCCTGTGTAAAAGTTAAAATAGCCTTTCAAAGAGGTCCAGAAACTGTTTCATTCATCCACATTAAACTGCTCATGGCACCCCTATGCTAAATTTTGAATACCAGGTCCTGGAGGAGGAAAGGTAGCATATACTCCCCTGCTGTGCCTTAATTTGTGACACTGTGCAAGCAGCTTTTAAACTGTTTGATCTGTGTGTCTGGCCAACCTTCACTGAAAGCTGCTTTGACCATCAACCCTCCAAAGTCAGCCAGCTAAGAGAGGTAGGTGGCTGGCACTGCCTCACTGTTCTCAGATCCAGCACATCAGTATATACAAGTCTGATCTCAAAGCTGCCACTAGTTGTTCCTATGTCCACAAGCAGCAGCTCCTTTAGCCCTGGACTAGATGGTTGCATTTCTGGGAGAGGGCTGTCTCCCCTCCCTCCCTGGCATAAAAATTCCCAGTTTTGCCATGCTGGATCTCTACCTTAATAGCTTCATGAGTAAATGCCATACCTTTTATTTCAGCATGGGCTGTAGCAGAGCCATTTAGCTGTCCTTCTCTAGGCTGAGCTGGGAAACAGAGAAGATGGTATTTAAGAAATGTTGTTTGGTACAGCTCCAGCCAGCTAAAACCCCAGGAAATAAAATGAAGCAGCAAGCCAGTCAGGGGAATGAGATTTGCTGCTCCTGTTTATTCCCACCCCATGGAGGAAGGAAGGGGGTGAGCGAGAGAGTAAATAATTTGGAAGTTACATGCTGGAAGGGAAGGATCAATCTTACATCTCGATACAGACCAAAAGGAGAGGAAAAGTGCTGTAAGGGTCCCTAGGCAGACATCAAATGTAGAATTAAGAACTAAAGAAGACTATTTGGCTTGTGCATCTGGTGTTTTGACACACAGATATCCTTTCCACTGGCTCCTCCCCCCCTCTGATAGTCGACTAGTAGCTTACATCCCCTAGGAAGCAGCACTCAAGCAACAGCAACAACTATCTACTGTTAAGTTTAACCAGCACTGAAACGAAACAGACCCCACCTGCATTACTTTGGCTCAATGCAAGAATAAAATTATTCAATGAATAAAACGGTACAGACCATGCCAAAGCAGGCACAAAATGAGTGTTTTAAAATCTTCAGTAATTCCAATTTTCTGCTAACTGGTATTTTAGTGTTACCAAGAGAAGAGATAAAGGGGCAGCTCAGGCATTATCCCTCAGAGCTTGCTACGCTATCGTACATAACACTGAAGCCCTTGTTGAAATGGCTTGGAGACATGGTGATGCATGCCAGAGTGCAGTGCATTACTATTCAGCACAAAGCTCATCACTCCACGTACCTGCTTGACCCCGCGTGGAGATCTCACTTGTTAACCTCTCGAAGTAGTCAGGTAAGTCGGCATATTCGTCGCCATATGAAATGACTTTAATCCCTTTATCCAGCATGTTTTCACGGAGCTTCTTAAATTCATCCACGTCTCCCCTCCGCACCAGCATGAAGTGCTCCAGATCCGACTTGTGCTTCACAGCTTCTAGGAAGAGTGCCTGAAATGTGGTGTCATCCACAGTCCAGCCACAGCCCAGGAACAAGAATGATTTGTTTTCATACAGCTTCTGGATCTCCCGCTTTAAAAAAGAGAGAGAAGAGCAGTCTGGGCAGGTTTTATCACGGCTCTTGCAACATGCAAGTTACGCACCATTTGGCTTTTACAAAGCCTCGGGCTCTTAATATGACAAGGTTTACATTAGTTCAGTTATTGTTAGAGTTCCTATCCCATGGCAACTCACCCATTCATCCTAAACACAGATTCATCTGAAATGCCAGGATAGAGACTTTCCTCTAGTAAGTATGGCCTCCCTTCTTTGTGCCCCGGTGTAAACAACCAAATTAAAACGTGTAAGAGTTGCTTGCATCCATATTACCAAGTACTCCAGACTCCTGTCCTTTTAGTTCTTTACTAATCCCCTAATTGTGTCCTCTGCAAATCTGTGTTTACAGCCAGGTCATTAACAAAAATGTTAATGAAGTAGGGCCAAGAAGCAATCCCTACAGAACACCCTTGAAACACACTTACTTGCTGAAGTCTGCATTTACAAAAGACCTAGCTTCTAATCCACAGACTGTGCATCATATTAATTTTATATAATAGTGGTGTAATGAAAGTGTCCCAGTGTCAAGTCAAATGCCTTACAGAAGCCTAGGTATTATATCAACACTTATTTTGATGAGGTTATGGCATTTATTTTATTACAATCCTTTAATCAGCAACTCTGTTACCTTGCCAGGGATCAATGTCAGATAAAGACCTATAATCACCTCGCGCATACCATTTGCCCTTTTAAAATACTTGGAACTACATCAACTTTCTTCCACTTCTCGAACTAATTTATGGAAGGCTGGGCCTGAGAAGTTCTAGCCAGACTGTCTGACCCAAGCGGTGGGGGGAAGGGGCCAATGCCTAAGTTAAGGGCTTCTGGAGAAACCTGTATAGACAAATCTGATAGTTTTACTAAAAAACAGTTTCCTTAAAAACAGAAATAAAAAAAATACACATCAGGATAGCAGTGGCTGCAAGCAGGATACAAGACATGTACATGCTGGTAGGCTACGTCTACATTGGCCCCTTCTCTGGAAGAGGCATGTTAATATCCAACTTCAGAATAGGGAAATCCGCAGGGGATTTAAATATCCCCCGCGGGATTTAAATAAACATGGCCGCCGCTTTTTTCCCGGCTTGGGGAAAAGCCGGAAAAAAGCGTCTAGACTGGCGCGATCCTCCGGAATAAAGCCCTTTTCCGGAGGATCTCTTGTAGGAATAAGAGATCCTCCGGAAAAGGGCTTTAGGATCGCGCCAGTCTAGACGCTTTTTTCCGGCTTTTCCCCAAGCCGGAAAAAAAGTAGCGGCCATGTTTATTTAAATCCCCCGCGGATTTCCCTATTCTGAAGTTGGAAATTAACATGTCTCTTCCAGAGAAGGGGCCAATGTAGACGTAGCCATAATGTTTAACTCTCTGTCAGAGTTAAGGACATAAAAATGTGATTATCTGGCTAATTTGTATCAACTGTATGATTAGTCGATAAGCACCTCTGCAGGGCCATAGTGGGGGGTAGCTCCAGAGGAGCCAACTCGAGCCGGGACTGAGCAAGTCCTGGTTTGTGCCAGCTCCAGAGCCATCTGCGCTTTGGCTCTGCATTTTAAAATGCAGAGGCATCACGATCAATGCGAGCCAGAACTGCTCAGTCCCGGCTCACGCTGAATTCAGCAGCCCCTGTTCATGGCAGGCCACCACAGAGTCTGCTCCAGCTCCAGCCCTTGTTCATGGCGGCCAGGGCTGACTGCTATGAACGGGTTGCTTGGCAGCAACAGCTCCTGCCTTTCTCCTGTCTGTGGCAGGGCCCAAGCTCCCTGCTGGGACCCAAGCTGATAGGGGCTGCTCCACAGCAGTGTCCCCCATCTCCTCCCCACCCCTCACTAGAGGCAGCGGGAACCAGCTTTAAAGCCGGCTCTTGTCCCCAGCTTGCTGCGCCTCTCAGAGGCAGCGGGGGGGGGTGGGGGGAGGGAGCGGAGCAGAGAGCACAGGTCTAGTGGGGACTGCTTGAGTCCCTGCTTGCCCTGTGCTCCCTGCAGCACTTCTGCTTTGAAGTGTACATTTCAAAAGCAGAAGTGCCCGCAGTGGGAACTGGTGGGAGTAGGGACTGAAGCAGTCCCTGCTCACGCTGTGCCTCTGCCTCCCTTGCCTGCTACAGAGAAGGTACTGGGGGAACCGGCTTTACCAGTCCCCCTCCCCCCAGCACTGGCTCCTGCTCCCTCCTCCCCTTACTGCCTCTCTGAGAAGGGGAAGCAACTAGTCAAGTCGACTATCCGACAAGCATTTGCTAACACCCCTAGTCAGAGTTAAGGATGTTAAGTAGTGGTTAACTGGCTAATCGCGCAGTTAGTGACAGGAGTCTGCCATGAGCATCAAGAGAAAATGGAAACTCCACCACCATACAGTCCATCTTGCCCCTTTCAAGATGTCTTTGCGCTGAGTGAGATCTGAACCTTATGCAGAAGCAGAAACATTTGGTGGAAAAACAAGCACCATTACCCCAACAATGAAGGGAAAAGCCAAACAATCACAAGATCCCAGCTATGCAAAGCATTCTCAGCTTGGGGGCCCAGGCAGGAAAGGGCGCACGAGCTGAAGCTCACCATAACCTCTGTGTTGCGCAGCACATTCTGGTACCCAGCTGGATGGAGAACTATTCCACTGGGGTTTGTGTAAACTCCATGGATATGCAAGACACTGAGCTTCCTTTTCTCCTGTGCCCACTCCAGCACCTGCACAAAACAAACAGTGTGGTAAGTATCTGCAAGGCATGCCCACCCGCAAGACAGAATGGAGTGGGGCAGAGCGAGCTGCAACTGGATGTCTTCATTTGGCAAATCGACATTCCAGGAATTAAATTGTTATAGAACATTTCTGACGAGGAGAGATGCAGAGAAATCCTAGTGCATGTGAAGAAAATAAACTGAAATCATCTGCAAGACATCTAAAACCACAGGAGGTCAGTGCTTAGCTAAAGCCTTCCAAGGGTCAGTTTCGGCCAGTCCTCCACAGGGGAGCCAGATGCTTTCCCCAGGCCCCTCATTGCAGGTCTTGCTGAGGCATCATTTTGTAGTGATTAGTTCAAGTTATGAATAGAGCCCGGCTTTTCAGGAGCATCCTGAATTTCAGCCGATTTGAACAGTCAGCTTCTCCTTCAGACCCCTACTCTCATGAGTTCTGGATTCATCTTCTCATGCAGATTAAAAATGGTGTTACACTGCTCATTTGCAGCAGAGGTTGCTGTTTTGTCTTGTCACCCACTGTTGATAGGAAAAGTAGGATTCCTCACTCAGGACTCAGCAAGGAAATGTTAAAACAAACTGTAAGAGCGTTATTTTCATATGCATTGATCTCAAAACTACATGCTTATTCCATTTCCAATCTCGACTCCAAACAGTTTTGAGCATGCTTAGGTTAGCCTTTGTTTGCTTCAACATAAAATCCTTATCACATTTTCCTAGTTTACCATGTTTGCAAATTCATTCCTACATAGCTCTTTTCCTTATTTAATCCTGCAATGACTGAGAATACTATATTTGGATCACTGTAAATATATCCAGTAGTGCATATTGGGAGCTCATGTAGGAGACTGGAATTTAGAAATGTGATTGAACTGATATATTTGACTTGGGCATAATGAAGAAAAATCACTAGCTCCTGTCCCTCCTCCCCATATGCTGCTGCCTCTGATATAGAGATTGCAGAGCGTGGGGAGGGAAGAACATAAGAACGCTCATTGATTAACCATTTAAATATGTATCACACATTCCTATATAGTCTATAATATACCACAAAAGGAATATATTTTATCCAAAAAAATTGATTAGTTTTTTTGGTGTATATAACTGCCAGCACAGTTCAAAATCGTAAAGCCAAGGCCTGTCTGGAGTCAAAGCTGGGAGTACGCTGGCAACTGAAAGCCAGAAGTCCTAAGCACAAATCAGAGCAGTACAAAAGATATTAAATATGCCCTGGGGCTTCTGAGTTACAAGGATGTCCGCCAGCATTTCTAAGGACTGACATTCGGGATGCAAAGGAACTTGAGGATGTTCTTTCCTCTCCTAGAATACTAGACTGCAACACTAAAGGACCATCCAGCCTGGGATATATAATCTACCACTATAAATTAATGTCAGTGTCAATAGCACGACACATTTCGAGCAGGTGCAGGATGTTCCACCACCACTGACCTGTGATTTGTGTGAACAAAGAGCAGAATGTTTAGCCTGGCTGCCATGAGGAAGAGTCGGGTTTACCTTTTTTTCATCAGTAAGGTCGAGAGATTCAAGCTGTTTCCCTTGGTCTGTTGCATACAGTTCCAGAAGGTTATCAAAGTTTGTAGTTAATACGAGCGCTCCATTTTCCATCAAGTGAAGCACAGACTGAAGCAGCTGTTTCCCAGAATCCTCCATTTTAGACTCTAGGTCATCAAACACCTCATATAGACAGTCTTTGAAAAACGTGGAGCGGACATTGCTAGTGCGCTGCAGAGGGAATCGAGAAAGCAAGGTCAGAGCTGGGATTTGGTTCCCTGTAGCATTTTTCATAGCATGGACTTGGAGTCGAGGGCAGTATACAAACCTACATACCTAGCCTGAAGCACTTTGCAAGGCAATGAGTTAGCAGGGGGTACAGACCACGTGTAAGCAAACACAGCAGCAGTTATGTGATCAGAAAAGAGCTTTCAGGTTAGAGAGTAGGCTGTGTGAACAGATGAGATGCAGCCTCGGCCAGGACACCAAACCGATTGCCCACCCTGGCATGTCTAACGTGCTCACCATGCTGAGACAGAAGCATGTACAAGTACAGTGAGATCTTTACTCTCTATTGAGCACTCATGCAGACAAAAGGGACATAGGTTTAACCATTCCGTTAAAATAGGGCCCTTTTAACTGCTGTACTCAAGTGCTGTCCTTCGTGGCAGCAGCAAGGACAAGCACAAGGCCTGAAGTGGGATTTGAACGCACAGCCTTCTACCCAGAATTGAGACCACTGGTGGCCAGGCCTCCCCAAAACCCATCTCAGAGGCACATTCTTCCCCAAACAACATGCTTACTCTGGAATTGCTAAGAAAAACTAAGCCTTTACTCTCTCAGGCAGTGCTAACACAGGCTGCTAATGAAGCAGGTACTTTCTGCAACACAGCTATGTAAGGAAACAGTGCACAGAGCAAGGTAATCTCCACAGAGGAACTCCCATCTGAGCCCCCCTCCCACCACTTCAGTCAATACAATCATGAACTTCTGAACCAGAGCCATCAAGCTACAACTGATGCACCATCTCACTGATACCAGCTAGGCTGGTTTGGTACCTTGACCCTGGCACACTAAGTGATGGGAGTAGGAACTTCATGCAACTCCCTGAGGTTGCCCCAAGGACAAGGAGGCAGGACCAGTGGATGGGTTTCAGGGACAGCAATACCTAGCCAGCCAAGCCCATTAGGGCAATTGCTAGGGCAAATCCTTGGCCACCCCCCACTCTAACAGACCCATTCTACACAGTGGGGCTACATCTAGACTGCAAGCCTTTTTTGAAAAAGAGCATCTTAGACCATGGGTTGCCAAATAAGCGACCCAGCCCCCCCCCCCCCCCCATTTCCCCCATCAAGTTTTGCTATCCCAGTTAGTTTCTTTTTTTTTTTTTGCTCAACAAGTTTTTTTGCTATTTTTTGGGGGGGGGGGGTGTAAGGGTTTCTCAAAAATCAAAAAGGGGGAGTGATGCCGAAAAGTTTGGGAATCATTGGTCTAGACTACAATCAGTACTTTCGAAAAAGAAAGCTGCTTTTTCGAAAGAGAGCACCCAGGCAGTCTGGATGCTCTCTCTTGAAAAAGCACAGTTTGCATTACATAGCGTCTTTTTTCAAAAGAGCACTTTCAAAAAAAGGCGTTATTCCTCGTAAAACGAGGTTTTCCACGGTCAAAAAAACTGCTGTGTTGTTTTGATTTATTGTAGAAAGAACGCGGCAGCAGTCTAGATGCAGAGGAAGTTTTTTTTTTTTTTTTTTTTTTTAAAGGCCACTTTTTTCAAAAAAAACTCTGTAGTCTAGACACACCCTGGGGTTGATGAATCCTCCTGCAGGTATTCACTCACCGGAGACAGTTTCTGGATAAGGTCATGGGCAACATGAACAAGGTTCTTGTCTTCTTGGAGACATTTCTGAAACTTTCTGCTCTCCTCCTCTTCAAGAAGATCAAAGTCAATTGCAGCATCCAGCAGGGCCTGGATTAATCCTTTCCAAGACTTCAGTGCTGGAACTTGAGGAGCTACGGCTGCACTGATCCCTGTCCCAATTACCAGAACAAGTTCACCGGGCTTTTTGGTTTTAAGGCTTGGCAATAGTTTCCTGCAGCAAGGGAAGAGAGAAGGACATTTGTGCTGACATAAATGCGTGTCCCAAATGCACACACCGGGGCCAGAACTTGGAGGAGGCAAGAGAGGCTGAAGGAGTTGGCCTGCTATGCCCAGATTTCAAATCCAAGCGTACACTCGGTCACTCATGGAGAGAGACAGGGCAGCGACAGAGTCTCCTAAAAGGCAGTGCAGTTCTACAGGCCAGTAACAGCCAACTATAGGTATGAGATAGTCACAACCTGGTCCTTTATCAGTCTAGTTAAGGCAAAATTCCCTGGCACCCAAACAACTTTCTAAAGCAGAGGAAGCCAAGTTAATTTTAGCTGCAGGACAGCAGAGGTCCTAGCAAGTGGTGCCATCTAAAAATGCAGGTTAGGAGGATGGCTGGAATGTGGTGAGTGGCAAGGAGGTTTGCCTTGATGATCCCAGTTGATGTACACTTTTGTACACACCCACTAACAGGCTCACAATGCACTCCCTGTGCTGTAGCAAGGGGGCTCCAGCACACCCTGGGGATTTGGGAAGAGGAAATTATGTAACCTGAAGTGTATCAGAGAAAGCAATATAGGATGGCAAGCAGCTGGTCCACAAGGGGAGCTGGTTTTTATCTGGCTGATTATAGAGGCAGCAGCGCTGGATGGCAGGGGGTCCCTTGGAGTGGGGCCAGGAGCGCACTGGCTGCCGGCCCCCCATCCTTGGGGACTATTGATTAGTCATGTAATCACAAAGATTTCATGAGGTTACACATCTATTCAATTACACAATATCTAACATTCCTACTGCATACTGGCTGCCTCTTGAGGAAACAATTCTTTGACCCTTTGGTTTGTGAATATATTCAGATATTACTCTACTACTCATATGATCTGTAATTTTTATGCAGGGAGTTAAATTATTTCTGAACTCTAATTCTCCCGTAAAAGAAATAAACTTTCCCTAAGAGTCTGGAAGTGCAATCAGGCCTTTTTATATTTTCAGAATCCTGTGAGCCTGAGTATCAGAAAATGAGCCCAACAAAGATGATTCTAAGCAATAATTCTTCTAGAAAGACATTTGGTTCCCACACTGATAAGAAGCCATTTCTATTATTGCATTCCTAGCAAGCCAGCCTACACTCCCAGTCTCCTTTCTGTTTACATTAGAGATCTACAGGGTGGAAAATGAAAACAAAAACTAAAAATATTTAAAAAAAACCCTGAAGACTTTTATTGTTTTTTAAATTAAGTTTTATTTCACCCCCTTCCTGCCTTCTCACAGCCAATAAGTCAGTCGAGTTAGCCAACTACATTTCCTCCAACAGCTCTTCAGACATATTTTTCTGCCAAACCAACCCAGAGAGAAGATCAAGCACTGGCTAGTATCTTCAGCACATCCAGGCACCCTCCAGGATGCCAGGGAGTTAAAGTAACTGAAACAAATCGGATGTCCTTTTCTGCTTTGAAACAGAACCCGTTCTGGGAATTTTCTTAACCTGAATTAAATACCTTATCTTACAGGCTAATCACCACAAGAAACAGGCTGGACTGAATTAAACCAAAGGCATCTAAATCATCAAGGGGAAAGCTTCAATTTGGTCTTTATTTTTGCTGTTTCTTTGTAATGGGATACATAATGGTGTCTCCTGAAGCCAGAGCCCAGATCCCAACATCTGTGGGAACTTCCCCAGCCTCTTGCACCCAATAGCTCCTGAATCCCCCACAGGACATGACTGGTTGTGCCATATTTATTATAAACCACTCTCTCAAGTGTTAGATTTTCCTCCCGTGCCTTTTTTATATAGAAAAACAGCCTTTCACTCAAAAGCTTTGACAGGCTCACGGAGTCAGTATATTTATTTTTTATTTATTTGCTTTAAGCAATAACTAGGCCTTAACATATTTTGTATTAAAATAAACATGTTTAAAATCTGAGTTTAAGATTAAAAATGAAAATAAAAATCAGATTTATTAAAAAAAATACAATTTAAATAAAAAACCTGTTTTCCCCAAATAGAGATTTCTATTTACACCAACAAGAAAATAATGGTTATAACAGACGGCCAAAGGCAGCACACACTATCAGACAAGCCTTGGAAAGGTCACTGAGACTTAGTGCCAGGTGTCACACCCCTTTCTAAAACAAATGTAGGGTCATTTAAAAAAGCCTTTCATCATTTCTCCTATTTATACAATATGGACATTGAAATACTAGTAAGTTTACCTGGGTTTTTTTGCGGGTGGTATTCCATCCACCAGTAATGTGTCTTTATCCAAGTTTATGCTCACTGTAGAAGCCATCCAGTTTCTGTAACAGACAAATTTACAATAAGCAAAATTAATAAGTGTGATCTGATCTGGAGCAGCCTAACTAACTTTGTAAAGGAAGAACAAATATTTAGTCTCGTTATCTGTATCAGCACTTTTTGGCAAAGGACTGCACTATTCTGGACTCTTCAGCTCCAACTCAGTCATCTGGAATGAACCAAAAACTCATTTTGAATGAAGTTTTGCAAAATATCCAGGAGATTAATGGATGCTGCTGACCACAAATATTTTCAAACTCCCCATTAGCTAGACTATCCTCTCAGAAGCTTAAAAGTAAGAATTTCTTACCAACTCCACCCTCTAACATTTTTTACCCAGGCTTAATAACTACAATTAACATGGTTGATTTCTCTCAAACGGGCAGCCGTGTTAGTCTGTAACTTTAAAAACAATGAGTAATCCTGTAAGCACCTTAGAAACTAACAAAAATATACACGTTGTATCACAAACTTTCGTGAGCAAAACCCACTTCCTCTGTTCATCTGAGGAAGTGGATTTTGCCCACAAAAGCTCATGATACTATATTTGTTAGTCTTTAAGGTGCTCCAGGACTACGCATTGTTTATAATGGTTGATTTGGTTTTAAACAGCACCCATAATCATTGTGCCACTGCATTATCTCTCCACATGCCAGCCTAACATTAGGATCACCTCTTCTCCCCTGCAGCAAACTCTCCCCAAGGTAATACCTAGATTATAGTCCAATACCATCTCTTTACCTTGCCCACTCATCTTGGTTTGTTGGCCTGCATCCTTAGGCAATGGGGGCACTTCTCTGAGAATATCTGACAGCAAACTTGCTGCCCCAAGGCCAGCAGGAGCAAGTACAAAAGATTTTTGTTGACTCTAAAAAGAGGCTAATGTGGGTTTTTTTTATTCTTTGTTGATGAGTAAATGGTCACATCCATTATATATCTCTACTCAAAGGATTTTACATGCTGACCACTTAAATGTCAAATTATATACAGGCAGTCCCCGACTTATGTCGGATCCACACTTACGAACGGGGCTTTTCTCGCCCCGGAGCTCACGGGCGGCGGGTCGCCACCCGTGTTCTCCGGGGCGAGAAAAGCTTCTCCCGGTCTCCCTGGTCTGCTGGGGGGGTCCAGCAAAGCTGCTGGACCCCCCCAGCAGACCAGGGACACCCGAGCAAAGCCGCCCAGGCGG